GCATGTGAGGCACAAGGGCAAAAGACAAAGGACACAAATGGAAAGAAGTGAGCATATGGTCAAAAAAATCCTTACTACTGACTGTGAAATAAATCACTTCTTATTTCTGAATACAAACCCAACCAGTGAATCATTGCTCAGAGGTCATTCAAGAAGGGATACAAAACCATGAAAGGTGCCCTGAGGTCCCTGCAAATTGGGGCAGGTGTGACATTTATCCCCTGCTCCTGCCCTCTGGCAAAACAATTAAGATAAAACAACAAGAACTCGTATATCCATCCATGTCATGGGCTGTTCTTGGGCAGCATCATCTCCAGCAGCATCTTCTTCCAAGGGCTGAGCAAGTGACTCGTGTATTTTTATGCTAAGTCTGAGTCTATGTTGTGATTATGTATTCTGCTGATTGATCAAAATTTGACCCACACTGCAGAATCCATCCAGGTGACTGAAGAGCCTCAGCATCAGAGAATTCTAGACACTGTGTGAAACTGTAAGGCTCTTAGATAATGTAGGCAAGTCTAGTAAAGAAGATCTCAAAAGACACATTAACACTTGTAACCATTAACATTCCTTACCTCTGGACTCAGATTGATAAAGAGATTAATAATTCATCTTGCCTTGAGATAAAGCACATCAAATATGGCAGCACTTCAGAGAGTGCTCTAAAGACTCGGTGCAAGATAATCACCAGATAGGAGCTCTCTGCATTAGCAGAAGGTACAAAACATCAAGAGCATTTTTAATAATTGACTCCCAAACTGCTTATGAGTTTCATTGCAGGTGTCTGGACCACAGTTTGGCCATGACACAATCCAAACCTTTGCCTTTGCTGTCTGTTCATCTGTGCCATGCAATAACTGCCCTGAGCTAGTGGACTCAGTGCAGTGGAATTCTGCCTGAAGATTGAGGGCACACTCAATGCTGCTACCAGGCACCTTACAGCACCTTTCATCACAAACCATCTGGAAGATGGACAAACATGAGGGGAATCCTGCCCCACACATCTCAAGCCCTTCCCAAGCTGTGTGGAAACACTCATCCTGTCTTCATCGTCCAGCCCAGAGCAAAGCAACTGCGGTCATGCCGTGCAAAGAGGTGATGTTTGCAGCTCATCAGCCCTCTGCACTCACACATCTCGATGCTTTTGGTCCCTCAGAGTGGAGATGTGCAGCTGCTGCTCTTTCAAATGCTGCTTCAAGCCCAGCTCCACGCAAGCAAAGCATCGTCTTTCTGAAGGAGCGGTCGGGTGAATCTTGTGTGGGAGGAAAGTTCTCATTTCTAAACAGACGAGGCGTTACTGTGTGCACGAAGCTGTAGTCTGGCCAGACCAAAGAGCGCTAAGAAAGGAGATGCAAAAATAGCACAGGCTGATTTTGAGCACTCAGGCTGTTCATAGCTCACCACAGAGTGAGTTCTCAACACATGGTAATGTTTTGTGGGTCTCCAGATCTCCACAGGCTGATGCAGGGCCAGAGCTCCCAGTGGCTGAGTTCCTCCATTCTCAATGCAGACAGCAGAACTGCAGCCATGGTCCTGCTCTGCCCCTTGACTTCACTCTCAGCCCTACATCCAAGCAGGGACACGTTCCCAATTGTGAGCCCAGAGAAAATGTTTTGCGGGACAGAGGAGTGGGGAGAGGCACTGGTCGACTTTTACTGCAAGGAATGTAACTGCAATGACATTTCCTTGTGGTGACAACAGCAGTGACAGTGAGTGCAAAGAAGTTTTCTGCTGTTGGAGTTCTGCAGGTGATGGAGAGTGTGTAGTAGCACTCAAGGCATTTTGTTGCTTCCAGGCTTTACACTGCTTGGATGCTCCCTGGAGTGTGAGATTGGGCTGAGAATGCAGTCTGAAAAGTAAAGGAGCAGTGGGTACATGTGGAAAGCACATTAGAGATGCCCTGCCTGGCACAGAGAGATTGAATTTAAAGGGACCTTGTAAAAAAGATGGACAGTGATTGATTACAGAGTTTGACAGTTACAGAGTTTGACAGTGACAGGACAAAGAGAAAGGTTTTAAAATAGAAGCAGGGAGTTTAAAGTCAGATGCTAGGAAGAAATTCTTGATTCATTGGGTGTTGAGGCACTGGCACAGGCTACCCAGAGAAGCAGTGCATGCACCATCCCAGGAGGTGCTCAAGGATGGGTTGGATGGGGCCGTAGGATTCCATGATTCTATGGTATAGATAACTGTATTATCTTTAAGGTCCCTTCCAAATCAAACCGTTTTCTTTTATGACTCTGTGGTAGACTGGGGATGGTCAGGAGGTTGGGAAAAGACAAAGCAAGGAACAGAGCTGACCCAAAGAGACCAAAGGGACACTGGATGCAGAATGAGGCCATGATCTGCAAGGAGATGTGGAAAAAAAGAGGGAGAAGGGAGAAGTTTCCTCCCTTCAGGAAACAGGAAACGCGGACCATGCTGCGGTCTCTACACGTCCTGAAATAAAAGCGGTGTCTCTGCTGACGCAACAGATGCATCATGGGCTGCATCGCAGCCTCTCACTGTGAATAACTCTCCATCAGCTGCAGAAGCACCACAGGACGGGTCCAAGGCTCACAACACAAACCTGTGACCATCTGCACCTAGCTCACTGCAAAGCAGGCTCTAGGAGAAGAGATCGCCAAAAGATGTGGGTGCAGGCAGGATGGGCCATGCCGTGTCCTCGTGTCCCTGCCCTCCTGCTGCTGGTGGTGCTTGGTGAGTTGGGGATGCTGTGGGGAGCAGGGAATCCTGTCTGGAGCAGGAAAACCACCAGTAAAAATCTTGGGATGGTGCTGTGTGTGAAGATGAGTAGGAACATGGGTAGGCATGTACGAAAAAATTTGAGAATTAGGAAGGCTGTCTGAATTTGAATTTGAGGAGACTGCATCTGGAACTGGAAACACATCTGAACCGGGCTTGGGTATGCTGAGAAGGAGATGGAGGAGATGCAGTATGCAAAAACACAGATGAGATTATTCCTACTCCACAATGGGGACATGGGCAGGAACATGTGTGTGAGCAGGAAATTGTCACTCTAAACAAAACCCTCTCCGTCCCATGGTGCAGGTACTGGTGTGTGCAAGCAAGACATCTGCAGCTCCAGAGCTGGTGGTGAGTGTGAGAATGGGTCCTGAAAATGAAGACATCGTGGGGGAGGAGATGGGAAGAGAGAAAGGAATCTTTCCCAATGAATTCCCAGTGTCCAGCAAAGGAGTGCTGTTTGTCTGTGCCTTGGGATACAAGGTGTTTTTCAACTACTGATGCTGGTGGAATCCCTGTGCCATCCCTCCAGGTACTCTCCAGGCTCCAGTCCTGTTCCTTAACAGTTCAAGAGCTCAGGAAGGGGACGTTGTCCTGGCTCAATGTGTTCTCCAGAACCAGTTTCCTGCTACCCGAATTGTCTTCTGCAAGGATGGGTTGGAGGTGCGCAGCATGAAAGCCAAACAGAACACGGTCATCTACTCCATGCTGCTGAGCATCACTGAGGGAAGCAGCGGGACATACAAGTGTTTGTACGAGCAGAAGAATGAGAAAAACTGGCTGAGGAGCTCTGTCCTCAGTGCCCCCCGGGACCTGCATGTCACAGGTGGGACATGACA